GGCTGACTTATTTTTAGCTCTCCTTTCTAGCTAGATGCAGGGAACAACCCCTATACATCCCTGCCCACTATTCTTCCTGTTTTCTGGAAAACACTAGCAGAGTCGTCAGAGAGGACCAGTTCTCCCATGGGGGGTTGGCCTCCCAGGCACGGCCCCAGGTTCCCCGCGAAGGGCAAGGAAGAAGAGAGGCACACAGAGGGGCTGCCTGGGGGGCTTCATCAAAGAGTCCAGAAACTTCCCAGGGAAAAAAAGGAGCCAAGAAGGGGTGCCCCCGGCCCAGACAGGAGACCGGCAAGAAGATGGATTTCAGGCCAATCAGTAAACCCCACGGGATCAGAAGAGGGTGGCAGGCAGATGGGGAGGCAGTGGAGTTTCTGAGCGAAAAGCGAACCCGAAGTCTAGACTCAAGCCACAGCGGGGAGCACCCACAGCTGCGGGGAGCACCCTACAAACTCGGAAACGGCTGCCATGTCACACAGTACGTCCCAAAAGACCAAAGACGAGGGACACACGCCCCTGCAGTTTCAGCCCCTGAGAAATGGGGCAAAGAGAAAGCCCCGAAGAGCACAGCCGCAGCGCCCCTGGGCCTGGGCTCGGACGCCCCCGCAGCCCCCCACCGCGGCCCCCCAGCAGCGCGGCGCCTCGGCCCGCGGAGCCCGCAGTGCAGGACGAAGGAAGGATGTCGTCAGAGGAAAACCTTTCTTGCCTGGACTGTCCAGCCAGCCCAGCTCTCGCTCTCTGAGCTCCCGAGACCCTGAAGAGTCTCCCTGTATGACACACTCTCAACGACCACCGGTAACGCGGTGACGCATCCGTGTCACCGAGGACGAAAGCCCACGCGTCTCCCAGGGGCCTCGCAGTTCCGTTACCCCGATGCGGCTTCCCGGCGCCTGCATTCCCCGCAACGTGGAGCAACCCTGGAGGTCTGCCAGGAGGGGGCAGTAGAGGCCTGTGCCCAGAGCCCAGGCTGGGCGCTCGCCTCCTGGACTCCACACGCTGTGGCTTGGGCCTCAGGGGCTGGGCGAGTCCGGGGAGCCCCGTAGCCTCTGCCAGCTTCTATTTCCTTGCCCACAACGGAGGACTGACGGGACCCACTCCGTCCAGGGCCGCATAATTAGCAAGCCCGGAGGCCCAGGCTGCCAGGGCGCAGTGGCCATACAGAGCTGTGGTCGGGGGGCCTGGGGAGGGGGCGGCCGCAGGTACCTACCGCCCTGTTTATGTGCTTCCTGATAAGGCAGTAGAGCACGGGCAGCGTGACGTAGGCCAGCATCTCCCAGAGCTTCCCGGTCAGCAGCATCCACAGGACCCGGTCCTCCGCCTGCAGGTCGATCCAGCACCAGCCGACTGACACGTCCGAGGCGTCATAGCCGATCTTCTTCAGGGCGACAGCTGCCACCGTGATGGCCAGCGGGACCCCCCAGCTGAGGAACAACGGGCAAAGGAGGCAGCCAAGGTCAGGCCCTGCTCCCAGCGAAGCCAGAAGGGGCAAAGCCAGGGACGCTCGGCAGACAGAACGGTGCTGCCGAACCCTGGACCACACATCAGCCCCGCACAAAGCGGGGCAGGAGTGCTCAACTCCCCCCACCCGGCCCCGCTCTGCCCCCGCCCTGCCAGGCCCACCCTCATGTCGCAGAGCACAGGGATGTCCCCGCCTCCTGCCTGGTCCGACGCACCCCCCAGCCCCTCAGAGGCGGGGTTCTAATTCAGAACTGCTGGGCTCCCATCAAAAGGAATGAGATCTTGCCATTTGCAATGACGTGGATGGAAATGGAGGGTGTTAATGCTGAGCGAAATAAGTCAGAGAAAGACATGTATCATATGACCTCACTGATAGGAGGAACTCTTAAATCTCAGGAAGCAAACTGAGGGTTGCTGGAGTGGTGGGGGGTGGGAGGGATGGGGTGGCTGGGTGACAGACATCGGGGAGGGTATGTGCTATGGTGAGCGCTGTGAATTGTGCAAGACTGTTGAATCACAGGTCTGTACCTCTGAAACAAATAATACAATAGATGTTTAAAAAAAAAAAGAAGATAGCAGGAGGGGAAGAATGAAGGGGGGGAAATCGGAGGGGGAGACGAACCATGAGAGACGATGGACTCTGAAAAACAAACTGAGGGTTCTAGAGGGGAGGGGTTAGCTTGGTGATGGGTATTAAAGAGGGCATGCTCTGCATGGAGCACTGGGCGTTATGCACAAACAATGAATCATGGAACACTACATCAAAAACTAATGATGTAATGTACGGTGATTAACGTAACAATAAAAATTAAAAAAAAAAAAGAATTGCTGGGCTCCTTGCAGATGGGCGCGAGGCACGGGGAGGGCAGCCTCTTCCTGCCCCCAGAGCGGCCTGCATGCCACGTGCCCGCGCCTGGCCCACACAGCCCCCTTGGCCGCCTGGGTCTCAGGGTGCACACACTGGCAGCAGGATCCAGAAGGGGGACCAGGGGCTTGGGCAGACACCTCTCTCCGGACCTGAGATCTCCCTGCTCTATGGGAAGGGGGTATTCCTGGCAGAGGTCAAAGGCAGGCCTCTAAAGCATCAGGCCTGGGGCTGGCGCCCCCTCTTAGGGCAGTGCCAGGCCGACTTTTTGAGAGCTCCCCGTGATGGCAACACGGCCATATGAGGGCCAAGCCCCAAGGAGCTTCCTGGGGTCCCTGCACCAGTCTGCTTGCGAAGCATTTTACACGGGCCAGGGGGACACACAGAGGCTTTGTGGTGGCACCATGAGGTGGCTCCGAGCTTGGCCTGCCCGGCAAGGAGCAGGGTCCAAGTTGGCCCCCACTCGGCCTCCACACGCCAGTGTTTTTCTCCACACAGTGGGGACGGGAACGGCGCCTAGGGCAGAGTAGGTCATTGGAGAATAAACCGAGTGGAGTGTGCCTGGCACACAGGACTGGGTAAGTGTGTCAGTGGGTCTGACTGCTGTCATGAGTTGTGTCCGACGTCCCAGGATTCCGGCCCATAGGGCAGGAGCCAGGAAAGTGTGAGGCCCATGCGGTCTCTGCCCCTGGGAGAGCGCACACGGGCCTATGGCCCAGGTCAGTCGCTGGAGGATGGAGCCATGTATAAACAGGACCCTGTCATCAGTAAAACGCTCAGCTCAGAAATCAGTTATATGTTGAGAGCTCTGTGTAAGCAACAGTGGCTCTTTTTTGTTTTTTAAGTTTATTTTTACTTATTTACTTAAGGAATCTCTACACCCAACGTGGGGCTCAAACTCACAACCCCGAGATCAAGAGTCGCATGCCCTTCTGACTGAGCCAGCCAGGAGCAGCTCTTTTTGAGAGAAAGTTCTAGAACAATGATGAGACCATAGCTGCATGTTAGTCTTGCCAAAATGAGAAGTGCTGTGTTCAATCAGGTTCTCCAAATACTGCAGGGCTGTGGGGGACGGAAGGGAGAAAGCCAGCTCCCCAGGCCTGGGAAGGACCCTGCGTTGGGCACTTTCAGAACGGAGGTGCCTGCTCGACACCCCCCTTCCCATACTGGCCTCTGGGTGCCCAGACAGGAGCACGAGGGCACAGCCACCTGCAGCCTCAGCATCTGCCCTCCCCACAGCGGGGAGGGAAGGGGAGGCGGGAAGCAGCCTGTCCTCCTTGAGGTCACAAAGGCACAGAAGGGACAAAAAACCCACAGAAGTTAAAGGGTTAAGGGAAAGGGACCAAGTTACCCCCGGGAACCTGTCCATTCTAAATGCTTGTTCCATCCGTTACTCATCTGTGAAGCTGATACAGATGAGTGTTAAACCGTTCTATCATAATACAGGGTTACCACTTAAAAACTCATGCCGTCCTGGGATCTGGAGACAACACGTCACAGCTGTGAGCTCCGTGAGGGCAGGTGCACTGCGCTTTCCAGCATCCAGAACAGCGCCTGGTGCCTGGCAGGGGCAAAACAAGGACCTGCTGATGAATGAATGAAGTTTGAGCCAAGTGATGGAGACAACTTTCCCCCATTTACTCTTTATTCACTGCAAGGACATCATTGTCACTGAAAAGGAACTAAAAGGCTTTTAAAGTACTATAACTGCAATCCTGAAGTTAGTTGTGTTGTTGTTCATCACTTTATGGCTTACAGGGCTCCTTCGAGGAGAACCCAGAGAAAGCGTGGTGTGTAGGGCGCATCACCCTGCAGGGGGCTGGGCAGGAGCGGAGGGGTGCCCTCGGGACTGGAAGGAAGCATGCAGGACAGACATGTAGGAGGAAGGACCGAACTCGCAGGCAGGGTGATTTCTCCTTCCTCAGCATCCTGATGGCCCTCGCAGGAGACCTGGGCCCAACCCGGAGACAGGTGTTCTATGACTTTAGGCTCATCGTAAGAAAGCTACAGAGTGATGCATTTCTTCTCTATGACTGGGGTGCACCTGGAGCTAAGTTTGTGTTGGGAAATAGCCGGAGAGAAGACCCAACAGGCAGAGGGCTTTCAAGGGTTAAGAATGTGGGGTGATCAATCAGAGTCGCTGTTTGAGTCTAAGCACAGATGGCCAGAAGTGGCAGGAGAGGTATTTAAGTGGGAGGTGGTAAGAAGAAGTAATATCAGGGAGGGGTGGGAATGGAGTGGGAGGGATCGAGACTCTAATGACCCAGCAAAGCGGGCTCTACCAGACTTGTGATTTATGGGTTTGGGCCACGCTGTGCTGGTTATGTTTAACAGCTGGCTCTGCACACATACACTTATTATTACTTTAACTGATGTGAAAGACGTGAGGTACACAACCTGCAAGTAATAACACAACACACTGTGATCCTTGGGGCGAATTCCATATAGCCAGTTGAGCCCCACAGAATGCGCTGGTTGATTTTTGCCAACATGCTATGGTTGCAGTTGGCAAATGAAAGTAGTTTCGGGGTGTGAAGTTGGTTGTGTTTTCATTTTCCTTCACACGTAAGAAGAACGTGAAAAAAGGAAGACCTAAGGGACAAGAAAAATGGTGACCAGGAGCGACTTCCTTGTGGGAGAAAATATTAATTTCCCAGCCCTGGAAGAGTATTCTTTCTATTTTTATTTTATTTTTTAATTTAATTTAATTTTTTTAAAGATTTTATTTATTTAGTTGAAAGAGACAGAGACAGCGAGAGCAGGAACACAAGCAGGGGGAGTGGGAGAGGGAGAAGCAGGCTTCCTGCCAGGCAGGGAGCCCGATGCGGGACTCGATCCCAGGACCCTGGGATCATGACCTGAGCCGAAGGCAGACCCTTAACGACTGAGCCACCCAGGCACCCTATTTTTATTTTTATTTTTTCTGCTCTGTGATACCGCCTCTTCTCACCCCCTTAAATACCCGGCTTCCTGCCTGCCCCAATGTGGGTACCATCTTTGCTGAAGTTCACACAAGGAGCCCTTTTAAGTATAATCTTTCCTATTGACATTTCCTCCATAACCTTCTTAAGTCTAGATAAAGGGTCCGGCAAACTATGGCCCTCGGGTCAAATCCGGCTGGAGGTCTGCTTTTCTGCTTTTTTAAATAAAGTTTTATTGCAACACAGCCTCGTTTACACTCAGTCCTCTACATATTGTTTAGGGCTGCTTTCAGGCTACAAGGGCAATAGTTGCAACTGAGATCAGATGGCCTGTAAAGCTAAAAAACCTACAATCTGTGTAGGGTTTGTTTGGGGGAAAGTTTGCTGACCTCTGCTCTACACAATCAACAAAACAACAAACCGAGCCCTGATCTGTCGTGTCTGCCATTTTCCACGGGGCAAATATTCCCCCTATAACTAATTTCAAGCCAGACTGAAATTGGAGACAGATGTGCAGTATTTCTGACAGTATTTCCATCGGACAGATAAAATAGTTGTAAATAACCCCAAGTACACAGGTAATAGTAAAATAATTAAGATGTAGTTTTTAGTGGGGCGCCTGGGTGGCTCAGTCGGTTAAGCATCTGACTTCAGCTCAGATCATGATCTCGGGGTCCTGGGATCAAGCCCAGTGTCGGGGGTCCACACTCAGTGGGGAGTCTGCTTGTTCTTCTCCCTCTGCCCCTGCCCCCTGCTCATGCTCTCGCGCGCGCGCTCTCTCTCTCTCTCTCTCAAATAAATAAAATCTTTTTAAAAAAAGATGTAGTTTTAGTATTTTTATTACTTTTTCTTTTTTAAAGATTTTTATTTATTTATTTGACAGAGAGAGAGAGCACAAGCAGGGGGAGTGGAAGAGGGAGAAGCAGGCTTCCCGCCGAGCAGGGAGATCAACAAGGGGCTCAATCCCAGGACCCTGGGATCATGACCTGAGCCGAAGGCAGACGTTTAAGGCAGACTGAGCCACCCAGGCGCCCCTTTATTACTCTTTTTAATACAACTTATTATAAGTTTATATATTTATATATATAAGTTTATATAATTTAGTTTTTATTAATGATTGCCTTTAACAATCAGCTCACAAAATGCCCTAAAATTTAATAATTGGGTCTCCCCAGCT